GAGCTGTGGGTGGGGCTGGGAGGCTAAGCTCAGGAGGCAGTAACAGAGAAACCACCCTGTGCCTGTGCCTGTGCCTGGGTTAGGGTCAGGGGAACCATGGGGGCAGTGGAGGAGTGGGGAGGAGGCATTTGCTGGGCTCTGCTCTGCAGGGCTGCTCTCCCCAGCCCCAGTGGAGCATCCCCAGGGAAGGCTCAGGTCTGGGAAGCCAGCAGCCGCAGCATCCCGGGGGCAGGGTCTGGCCCTCACCTGCCTTGCAGCTGCAACCCGCATACAGGTAGCCATGTCTGCGGAGCAGGAGGCACTGGCCGTAGGGTCCACAGTCATTTAAGCAGGGCACCAGGAACAAGGTGGTCTCCACATGGACCGAGGCCTGCTCACAGTCCCTTCGGGGAAGGGGCCGCAGAAAGCTGGCTGCAAGGTCTGCTGGCCCGGCTGCCACCAGCACTCCCAACAGGTGAATGGACACAAGAACCCAGAGAGGAGGCCCCAGGCTGCCCCTACAGGCAGCGCCCCTCCTGCTGGGTCACTCCCAGAGCCAAACTCTGCAGCCCCATTCATGGTCCTGAACACAGCAACTGGGCACCTGCCCCATCACTGCCCCTGTCCCTGGTTTACTCACTCTGGACTCTTGGGACACAGGAGCTGCAGGGAGAGGTACCAGTTGTCTGTCTCCGGGTAGGGGATGATGAGATGGGCCCTGAGAGATGAGGTGCTCAGGGACAAGGGGTAGCCCTGGAAGAAGGCTGCCAGGAGCAGAAGGCCCCATCAGAGGTGGCCAGGTGGCTGGCTGGGGTACCCCTGAGGGTAGCGCTGACCCATCATACCTGTGGTGCAGTTGAGCGAGGTGCTGAGACTGAGGAAGGGTGAGGCAACATTCACACAGGCCGCCACCATGGTGCTGTTTGCCATCTCTGTCTGGAAGTGGAAGCAGTGTAGGCTCAACTGCTTTAGCCCTGGCTGCAGCATGCCAGCCCCAGGCAGCAGGAGTGTCCACCCTGTGTGCCAGCTCAGCCTTGTGCTGGGTGCCTTTCTCCAAGGCTCCTGCTGGCCCAGGGTCCACCTGAGACCCTTCTCCTATGAGTCCGGGGACACTTGTCTCAAGGTTACCTCTGACCTTAGCCACTCCACAGCTCGGGACCTGCTGGCAGGAGCAGGGTTTGCCCCTCCTCAGATGGACCCTATTCTGGCCCACACCTACTGGTGTCACTCTGTTGCCTACAAGCCTGCCCTGACCAAGTCTCTGTGCCCAGGTAAGTCACCCAGTACCCTGGATGGAGCCCAGGCCTTGTGCCGCTTGCAGACAGGCCCCACAGCTTCAGAATGGCAGGTACCTTGTTGGCTTTCAGGGAGATGGTGAGGGAGCCCCCACTGTCCATGCCCGTGGTGAGGCGGAGCTGCAGCACAGAGGGTGTGTCCGAATGTACCGTCACTAAGGCCCTGTCCAGCAGTTGGAAGTGCACAGACACCACATCCATGTCCTCCCGCATGACCGGGTAACTCGCGAGGCAGAAGGGGCCGCCACCCACCCTGTCGCTCCTGCCCAGGTCCTGGTGGCTATGGCCCAGTGATAGCTGGCCCACAGTGGAGTTATAGCTCTGGTTTTGACTGCTCTGGAGAAGGTGCTGGAAGGTCACGCTCTGTGGCCTGCAGGCTATTAAGAGGGCAAGAGGTTCCACTGCAGAAAAGCACAGGGGTCAAGGGAGAAGCACAATCCCACCTGCCCTGTGCAACCCACCTGTGAGGGCAGCCACGGCACTGAAGGCCACCGCTGTGTGAGGCCCCACTAGGCTCTCGGCCGTCACTTGCAGCCACCGGTCCCAGGGTGGTGAGGGCAGCAGAAGGCGGCAGGGCCCGGGGGGGTTGACACAGGTGAGCACCTTCTGAAAATTGCTGGGCAGGGTGGCCGATCCCACGGTGAGACGCACAGGGCAGCCCAGGCTCCCGTTGGACGCGCAGTCCTGCAGCTCCAGACGGAGCTCCTGGGTGTACTCAGGCACGAAGACCCTGCAGCAGAGATCTGAGTTTGCTCAGGCTCAGTGCTGCCTCCAGCCAGGTGGGCCAAGGGAGTTGCACATCCAGACCCCTTCCTGGCATGACCCAGGCGCGAGGCTGGGGTCCCACTCACTTGAGGTAGCTGGGATGGGAGAGGAGTGTCTGCAGCAGGGGCATATCGGGCTCCATGATGGAAACCTCAGCCACACGCGTAACCAGCATGTCCGGCTGGAAGATGTAGGCACAGGTGGGAACAAAGCCCTAGGAGGAGGATGAGGTGTGGGACGGGGGTCAGATAATGCAGGCGTGGGCAGGGCCTGGCCAGGGACCGCAGGCATGGGGGCTAGAGCAGAGGAGCAGGCGTGGGAGGGCAGGGCAACAGGCAAAGGCAGGGGGGAGGACAGGCATAGGCGAGATACGTGGGGAGGCCAGGCAGAGGGGGGCAGGGGAACAGGCATGGGGGGGACATACACTGGGGCAGGGTCCACCCAGAAATCTCAGTAATAGAGCAGGCATAGGGAGGGCAGGGGAACAGGCATGAGGGACAAGGGGCATGCACAGAGTTAGGGAAACAGGCATGGAGGGACACACACAGGGGCAGGGCCTACCCAGAGACCCCGGGCATGGGGAAAGGGCAAGGGAGCAGGCATGGGGACAGATGGGGAAGGTCAGACATGGGAGGGCAGGGGAGCAGGTATTAGGGGACAGGCCCAACCAGAGACCCCAGGCATTGAGGAAGGGCACGGGAGCTGGCATAGAGGGGACTGACCTGGAGCCCCCAGCAAAGGTCATGGCCAGCTCTGGTCCCTGGTGGTTCTTCCCCTAAAGCAGTGGTCCCTTTGCCTCTCCTCCCCAAGTGCCCCATACCCTGAGTACCCCTCATCCCAACTGCCTCCAGTCTAAGAAGAACCTGCCTCTCCAGTGTCAGCCCTGGCTTATCCAGGCTGAGGTGGAGGCTGAAGCACACTGGGCATCAGGCAGGAGTGCCTGCCCTCCTCACCGCTGTCCTGGACCCAGAGTGGGCAGTCAAGCCCAGAGCAAGGATTGGAGCTCAGCCCTTCCCCAAAAAGTTCTGCCTCTTACCCCTGGAGGGCAGCCCTCTCACCTTCACCTGGATCTTCTGGGAGGAAGGAGGCAGGTGGGCGGCCACAAACCAGTCCCCGGGCGCAGGGTGGGAGACGTTGACTGAGGCATTGCTCAGCAGCATGGCACTCAGCGGCATCGTGACGTGGAAGGAGGGCAGCACAGAGGTGTTGTCGGGGAAGCGAGTGCCCAGCGGGTTGATGATAGGAGGGGCACCGTAGCGGAAGTGCCTGGGGACAGGAGGGCAGGGCAGGGGTTGGCATGGGCCATGGCCTGGCGCGGGCAGCACAGGGTATGGGCAGCCACCTACACGGTGATGTCTACATCGGTGCACGTGGGGCTGCCGCCTGGGGACACTTGCAGCAGCCAGCGCAGCAGTATGGTGTCCGGGGGCACGCGGAAGCGGAAGAGCCTGGCGCTGCCATACCAGCTGTAGAAGGACAGCCGCTGCGGAACCTGCGAGAAGTGCTCGGACACCAGCCCCACCTCTGCGGGGAGAGGGCATATCAGCCAGGCGGGAAGCTCCTTGGGCACAGACGGAGGAATGAGGGCCCTCCTGCGTGGGCCCCATATGGAATCCCCCAGAGGGAAAGGAGTAGGGGGACTGACCTGGAGTCCCCGGCAAAGGTCATGGCCAGCTCTGGCCCCTGGTGGTTCCTCCCCTAAAGCAATGGTCCCTTTGCCTCTCCTCCCCAAGTGGCCACCAAGTGGCCTGAGCACCCCTCACCCCAACTGCCTCCAGCCTAAGAATCTGCCTCTCCAGGGCCAGCCCTGGCTTATCCAGGCTGAGGTGGAGCTGAAGGACACTGGGCATCAGGCAGGAGTGCCCGCCCTCCTCACCGCTGTCCTGGATGGCAGATGCCAGGATATGCCCCCTCCCCTACCTCCTCAGTGCCTCCTGCAGGCATGGCTGTGCGGCCTGGCTACCAGGCCCAGGGGCTGGCTGCCTGCTCTGGCTATGATGATTCGGGCCACAGCCAGACTAGTGCCAAGTTCCCCCTAACCCCAAAAGAGATCCTGAGCAGGAGAGAGGATGCCAGCCTGGAAGCCTGGCCAGCCATAGGAATAAGGAGACTGGCCTGTGCTCCAAATGGATGAGGCTCCTAACTGCACCAGGGCACACACCAGTGCCTGGTGGTTCAGGGGCAGAGGAAGGCCTGCAAGGGACAGACTGCCCGTGGTCCCAGGCAAGGATGCACCTGTGGCCCCAACCCTGCAGGACTCAGGCTCTCACCCAGCCTCAGGGCAAGCTCAGGCCTCCTGCCTTGTGACCAGAATTAGGCTGCTGTGGACAGCTGTCCCTCTGGGTGCTTCTCCCTCCAAGGTTAATGAGTAGCAAAGTGCTCCAGGAAGAAATGCACCATAGACACAGCAGGGTATGGCCCCGCTCTCCTCAGACTGGTGCTGCCCACCCAGCCCACGAAGGACGCCTCTCTCTGCCCCACTGGAAGAGCGTTGGATCCCACCACCCAGGCTCAGGCCCCTCTTGGATGGGGCGAGGGAGCCGGGTGAGGAGGGGCTCGCCTGCCAGCCTCATGACCCCTCCCACAGAGGTTCCTGGAGAGAGATAAGAGCCTGCTGGCAAAGCCAGACCCAACTCCAGAGGAGCCTGGCATGGGGGCCAGTGGGGACAGTCTCCACCCACGGCACATTCCATTCTGCTGCTGTCTACTGGCCACCAGGTCCCACCCACCAGGCCAGGCCTGAGCTGCTGAGTGGACACAGCTTTCTCCCGAGGCACTGCAGGCCCTGGGGGCACGGTAGCATGGGCAGAAAAACCAAGTGCTGGAGGCTGAGGTGGGGCAGATCCCAGGACCATGGTGTCCTGGAGAAAGTCAGCCAGTTGGATACCCCCGCCACCTTTGATGGGGGCAGGCCAGGAAGTCACTTGAAGTCTGCAGCTCCCTGACCTTCTAGGTACAAAGCTCTCAGGGCCCCTCTGGCCCTGAAGTGCCAGCTGAGGACACCTGGAACCCGTTGGCAGCTGTGACGTTTCAGCAGGTACACAAAAGATAAGAGCTTCAGCTGAGTGTGGTGGCTCATGCCTGTAATCCCAACACTTTGGGAGGTGGAGGCAAGAGGATTATCTGAGCCCAGGAGTTCAAGACCAGCCTGGGCAACATGCTGAGACCTCGTCCCTGCAATAAATCAAAAAATTAGCCGGGCATAGTGGCCCAGACCTGTAATTCCAGCTACTTGGAAGGTGGAGCAGAAGGATTGCCTGAGCCCGGCAGGTGGAGGCTGTAGTGGCCATGAGCATGCCATTGCACTCCAGTCTGGGCGACAGAAACTCCAATTTAAAAAAAAAAGAGAGAGAGAGAGATAAGAGGTCAGCCGAAGGTTTTTCTGACCCCTGGTTCCCACTCCCAGGCCCACAGCCCTCAGCCCTCACCTAGGGCTCTGCCATCAGGCCTCCCTGCCCAAGACACCCACACTGTCATTCTGGGGAATGCACAAGGCAGTCATGGGCTGTCCGGGTTTGACCTCAGGAAGGGTGAGGAGGGCCAGCTACACAACCCTACCAGCCCCATGCCTCTCCATGGACACAAGCCTGGGTGGGGAAGAGGGAAAAGGAAGCCCCTGAGCTGTTTAGGAGCCCCAGTGAAGGCACCTGTCCCACATTCCTACTCCAGGACAGGCACTGGCTGGAGACCCTGCCCCTACCCACAGGCTCCAGGAGCCAGGGCCCCAGGACCACTGAACCTCCACAGGCCTGGGGAGGAGTGGCTGGGCCAGCCCACCAGGCCCCTGTACTGCCTGACCCAGTGTCCCATCTCCACACTGCCCCAGTGACCCCTCACCCAGGCCTGGTCCCTGGGATGGAGAAAAAGGGTGTCAGTAGCCAATGGAGCAATTTAATCAGGGGCGTAATCCTCAGGGGAAACTGCCTTTTATTTCAAGCTGTGCCAAGCTCAGAAACTAGAAGGCATAGCCCTCAGAAGAAACAGGAGCTTGGAGTAGCAATATTTCAGAGGAGGGGGAGGGGCTGGGAGCTGGGACACAGAGGGGTCACACAGGAGGAGCTGCCTGGGCACCTGGATGGCTTGGGTATGTGGGACCCTCAGCCTCTAGCCAGGGCATGCAGCCCCTTGGGAGACCCAGGCCCACAGCATCAGTCCCGGGTGTCCAAGACCTCAGTCCTAGCCCCACGGATCCTGGCAGGGGAGCACTCTCTCCCTGGTCTGGTCACCTCTTTAGACCGCACTCAGGGACGGGGGACCCTCAGGGAACAGAAGTGCAAGGGAAGGCCCACGAGGTCTCAAAAAAGGGTGCCCTTTCCCTCAGGCTCCCTCAGGGCCGGCAGGGAGTCCAACCTCCTAGAAGCAGGACCAAGCTGTGGAAAGTGACAGCAGAGAGCTGGTGGTCACTGAGGGAGGGCTGGAGAAGTGTGGCCCGGGACCCTGCTCCGGGTCCAAGCAACTTTCTCCTGGCTCAGCCTTCACCGGGCCACTGCCCAGCCGTTTTTCCCGGCCGGCCCCCAGCTGCGGTCGCAGGCCGAGTCCCCCGAACCCTCCGCCCTCCTCCAGGTGCCGACCCGAGCGCTCTGGGAGTAGGCAAGAGGGCAGAGGGCGCCCCTGAGGGCCGATCCGGCCCAGCACAGCTCGGGGAACAGAGGATAGAACGCGGATGCCCTCCCCCCTCGGACACTGAGTGCTGCGGGAGGGGCCGCTCCGCGCCCCCAACCCGGGTGTGGGCATCGGTCCGGCGCCAGCGCCAGGTGAGCGCACAGGTGCACCCCGGTGAGTCACAATCGGCCCCGCCCCTGGCGCCCGCCGCCTGCGCCCCCCGATGGCGCCGCCGGGCCCCTGCGCTCACCGCTCTTCCTGCTGTCGCCCGCGGCGGCA